AATACTGTAAAAGATTAACAAATTTTTTTGCTTCAATACGTTTTTCCACAATTTGTCTTGATCGAGTTTACAACATTTTTGGTCCTGATCATTCAAATGCAAAAAAAGGTAATACTCCTAGTTTTATTGGAGTATAAGTAAACATGATTGTTTATTTGACCATTCTAACTTTAGTTTTACGGGTTTTTAGTAAGTAACAAGAGTTGGACAAAACCAAAAAAAAGAGTCAAAATACTGTTTTATGTCGGAATATTTTTTTGGATTATTTGAATGTATTACTTTTTCTTCCAAAATTTTGGTAACTTTTATCTACACAATTTTTCGGATGTCAACTCTCTCATAATTTCTCTTTAATACAATTATTTATTTGTTACTCAATGCTCCCTCTTCCTCTGTTTTAAAAGTAAAAATTAAGTTTTAGATTTTCTTTAACCTTTATATATATAAATTTTTTTAGTGTGACTTTTCAAATAAAAATTCTTTATTAATTTTTACCCAAGCTAATAATATTTTTTGCTTTAGAAATTCTGACCATAATTCTCTTACAAAAAGCACATGATCTATCAGTTTATAGGCATTGCCGCATGACAAATTCTTCTTCTATTGTATATTCTCTTAGTTTTGTAAAGAATGTCAATTTAGAATTATTTTGTTGCTTAAAATGTGTTATTCTACATTTTCAATATAATTTTTGAAAATATATATTTTATTTTATTTCATATTAAAAACTAAACCATTTTAAATTTATATTATTTTTTAATTAATGATATACTGTATTAAATAGGGGTATATTTGTATGTATTGAAAATTTATTAATTAGTGTGAAATGTGTCGAAATGACACTTTTTTATTAAACTGAGGGAGTAACATTCTTGGCCGCATTTAGTAGATCATATTCATATATAATACTAGATTATACACACTGTATTGTGATGGCCATCACTATTTTTTTCAACTGTTACATATATTTATGGGTCATTTTGGTGTATAACCAAAAAAAAAGTTAACTAAAAAGTAAGTAAAATGGGGTATGTAGCAAAATCATGACGATTGGATGTAGAATTTTTGGTTAGATTTTAGATTATAATTTTTTTGTTATGTTATTTTTGCCAATTTCCTTATATTTATATGGTTCGCAAAATAGTTGTGACGTAGTATTCCTCGTTTTAAAATCGGGAAAACTTTTAGGGAGCTTTACAAAAACAACACTGGAAATTTGGTTTTTGACCAAAATGATGTTTTCCTTTGAATATCACTCAAACAACCTTGCAAGATTTTTTATACCCGTTTTAGCCTTATTTTCTTTGAAGAGAAAAAACGTATTTACGAAACTGCCATTAATGAGGCAGCAAAATTTTTTCGCCAAAAGCGAATAAGTCTACCGTTCATTTTATGGTAGATTTATTTGCGATTGGTAGATTTATTAAGTGGTTGGTAGACTTATTGATGGTTCGCGGAATGGTAGACTTATTTATAGTAGTGGTAGATTTATAATATGTGGTAGACTTATTTGTAGTAGTGGTAGAGTTAATTTTGTGATCGGTAGACTTATTGATGGTTCGCGCAATGGTAGATTTATTTATAGTGGTGGTAGATTTATAAAATGTGGTAGACTTATTTGTAGTAGTGGTAGAGTTAATTTTGTGATCAGTAAATTTACTGATGGTTTGCGCAATCGTAGACTTATTTATAGTAGTGGTAGATTTATTTTGGAGTGATAGACTTATTAGCAGTAGTGGTAGAGTTAATTTTGTGATAGGTAGATTTATTGATGGTTCGCGCAATCGTAAATTTATTTATAGTAGTGGTAAATTTATTTTTCAGTGATAGACTTATTAGTAGTA